TAATCCAACATTTTGTTGTTTTGTTTAAAACAACAAAAAGCTGGGAATGTTGGGGGGAACATTTCTTACTCATTCCTCCTGTTTCCTTCCAGGGAGGAGAGTTCGGTAAGTATAAATCCTGGCTCCTTTTGGCCCTTTATTCATTCTGTTCTGGGGAAGAGGGAAAGACTTACCTAAGGGGCAAATGTATCTAGATATACTGGGCATGATCAGCTTGCTCCTTCCTTCTCCCTGGAAGAGCTTGCTAACAGAGCAAAACTTTGGATAGAGAGATGAGACTTCCATACCAGACCAGAGCCAAATCCTTGAATGGGGATGACACGCTCTCCGTGTGAGTCTTTCGGATTCCCCGCACTTGCCAAAATGAAAGGCAAGATTTATATTCTTGCCCTTTGTGTGACAGGGGTTCTTATTGCTCCTTGAAAGGAGTTTTCTTAACTAAATATCTGTCCTGAGATTTTCTTTGCTACTAATTTGTATTACATATGAGGAAAATATTTTCTAACAAGACTAAACTCCTTAGTATCTGCACAAATTCCAAATTAGGAGGTTTCAGATGAATGAAGATGTACTGTATTTTCCAGAATCTCTGCTATGACAAGTTCCTAAATTCAGTTTTTAAAAACTTAACTTGCCGGGATGTAACAGACTGATAGTACTAAACATAACCTTTATATTCATTCAATTTTATTGCCTTTACCACAGTTACTTATGAGAAGGCACAGGATAAAGGGTTGCAGTTACCTTCTGAAAGATTCGGGAGCATAGGCCACCACGGTAACACAGAGCTTAATGGCTTCGCTGATAGAGAATGTCAGGTCTTCATTTCCATAGCAGAAATCTGAAGGAACAGAAAGTCAAGGCACACAGAGTGGATTCTGCTGGGGATAAAGAACTTACCATTCCTAACATTGTCTTTCCAGTTATATTTGGTAGCTTTTTCTTTGTTAGATTTTATTCTTAAACTGTGAAAACTATTAATTTCTTCATCTACAGGGAATAAAATTCTGTTTTCTACTTTTGAACCATAGAATGAAAAATAAAAGTGCTTTCTTGGGGCAGTTTTGAAATCTCACCTAGTAGGAAACACTGAAGGGCATTTAAATGATTTAAGGTAAAACATGAGGCTTTACTTTTGAATTACCTCTAGTTCTACACATTCCATGATAATGAAAGACCATTTTGTAGGGTTATTTACTTAGAATTACCCAAGATAATGCAACTTTCTGAAAACTGCAGTACTAGAGTAGATGCTCTACTGAGCATCATTGTAATATAATTTTCATGGCAGAAAATTCCTTATTCCTTAGGATCCATAAGAAATTTATGAAAAACATGAGGTATAAAATTGTATTCATTGAATTTATACCATTATTCCATTTATTTTTGCTGTTTTTATTTAGCGATACATATATATAATTATATCTATAGATCATATATAACTATACACATATACACTTTTGGCAAATACAGCAAGAAAAAGAATGTCAAGGCAAATTTTGCTTTTACCTAATGACTTAAGAGGCTTCTCAGCTTTGACTAGCTCTAAGATGTCTAATATATCAGTGGTCTCTCCCTCCAGGGACTGCAGCAAGTCAAACAGGCATTGCGCTGACACGCCTTTGCTGGGCCCATTGTTGGCAGCATCCTGTATAAAGAAAAACAATTTTAGTTTATCGACTCCCACCCCAGTACTAATATAGTTTGACAGGAATTCAAATTTTATAACACTGTCACCAATAATAATCATAGCATCTGTCTGGTATTCAGCTTACACAATTCTTCATCCAGCAATGCTGTTGCATGATTTTGTAGTGGTACACCTGACTTTTAAGGGATCTCTTAAGTGCTAATCTGGCACAAAAGAGATAATTATGGGAATTCATAAAAATATAGCAATATATCAACTTCCAGAAAAGTTCATGCCAATAGCTCCTTTGGTCTAAGACTGTAGAACTAAGGAAATTTTCATAATGGATTGGTTGGATACCACAAGTCTATTTGGGGAACATATGTTTATTTTAACTAACAACTCTGGGAATTTCACAGGTCTTGTTTGACAATATATCTCCAAATGAGATATTTGCTATTTCAAATCTATTTAAAATGGCTTTGATTCATTCACTGAAACAACAAATTTTTATTAAGTACTTCTGTACCAGGCACCATTCTCTGCACTGGTGTTATAGCAAACAAAAACCAAAACCAAATCACAAGCCAAAAAAAACCAAACAATAACAACTAAAAACAAACAAACAAGCAAACATATACACAGACGAAGGTCTTGTTTTCATGGAGCTTAAATTCTACTGGTAGAATGTGGTAGCGATACATGTTAATGAAACAAACGCATGTATAACATGACACGGTAGTGAATGCTCTGAAGAAAAAGAAAAATAAATCAGGGTAGGTGATAGCGAGTGACAAAAGGGAATAGAAATTGTGAAACCCTCCTTTCACCATTTTCTATTTTCCATCCCCTTTATGAATTGAACGTTAAAAAAACTGGAGAGTTGGTCTATTTATATCTTAGGGGCTGAGAGGAGGGTTGAGGAGAAATGTTGAAGAGAAATGATATTCTTGTCGAAAGAGAAATGATTTATGGCACCATTGGTTGAATAAAGAGCTGAGATTGGATATACAAACTGACAATGGCCAGACCACATATACACATAGAACTCTGACTTACAACCTGCAGCAACCTGCCCAGGAAACCTACCCACTGTCTATAACAACCAGCCCAGGAAGCCAGCTTGCTGTAAGTCAGACCATTAGCTCCAATGGTAACCAAACAATAACCCCTGTAATAATTGGCCTGTAATGGCCAGGATTTGATTAATAACTGACAGCTTTCCTAATTTTTGTTCTCCCTTCCATCTTAGGACCAACCAGAGAAAGTCAAATATGTACCCCTCACCAATCACATAAGATGCTTTGCTTCTAGTTACCTCACCTACAGCCTCCCCAGGCCAAGAGTCTCCAATCAGGGCATACCATTTTCTCCATTACAGAGCTCACCCACTCTTCTGCCTGCCTCAGCATCTTTGCCAAAGCACAAGTGATGATGGCTGACTCCCTTGCTATAGCAAGCCCTGAATTAATAACCTTTGCTTTTCTCATCTGGTTGGTCTTCATTTATTTCCACAGAGCTTACTCACAGGAAATTCCAGGAGAGGGGCCACACTAGCGAAGAGCTGGAGCACAAAGGGCTTCCGATGTAGAATGTAGAACTGGTGGCAGGCAAATTCGATGGCTTGACGCAACTGGGGATTGCTTTCATAGTCAGAATACACCTGTGGAAAAATGCCAAATATTCAAAAATACCTTGATAATGTATCAAAGTTATGTTTGCTTTGAAAACTCAAAGCCATGGGAAGCAGGGAGGGGAATGGCTAATTTCCTAAACTGGTGGGGGGAGTATAAAATGGTATAACCTTTCTTGAGAGAAATTTGGTAATATACATAAAAATCCTAAAAAATCTACATATACTTTTTCCCCCAGGAAGTT